GGGGGGGGAGCGGGGACCGCTTCTCAATTTATTAATCCTTTGTGTTATCCTTGCCGAGGGGCACCCTAATTAATTCTTCCAATTTTAACGGATCTCCCAAACGACCATCTCTCGGCACAACAAAGCGAGCAGCCTATTTTATTAATGTGTGCCATGATCCTTACAGAGTCTTTTTTGACTTCCTTCCTTCTTTCCCCGAACACAATGTGCGGTCATTACAGCTGTGTTTAGACTGAAAAATACCCCAAATACAGCTATAATGACCATATGTACGTTGTATTCGAGGGAAGCAGGTAGTAGAATCGGAAAATTGCGGACTCTCCTTCCATCTCACTCACTGGGGGTGAGGTTCCAGGCGAGGGAAGGGGGGGAGCACTCTACGCACAATTTTGAGCATGCTGACTTTGGGGACTTTTCCTCATATCACTAGATGAAAAAATCTGGGAAAAATATCACAGACGTAGATTGAGTGTCTATCTGTTTGGGAAAAACACTAGAAAAAACCAAAAAAGAAACATTTATGCCACATTTTGATGATTTCATGCATGCCAATAGTCGAGTTATGGATCCGTACATCGGGCCGCAGACGTCCTCCTTGGGTGCACGGATTCGAACCAGGTGTTTTTTTTGGATGATTTGCGTCAGGGGGCAGTGGTGGTTTGACCGTTAAACCACCAGTACCTTTCCTGGCGATTTTGTTCTGGTGCACGGGGGTCGACTGGCTGTGTCTTCGACGGCTCGGCCTGCTGGACTGAAATTGCTGGTGGTGGTGGGACAAAAAAAATAATAAAGAGGAACAAAAGAAAAACACGCCCAAAGTCCGAAACCGGTTCATTTCATATTCATCCCGGGGCAGACGTTAGCATCTGGAAGAAGATCCTCGGAGGTACTGGTGGGATTTAAGTGGGTGAATCAAGGTGATGATATTTGCCAGCGTCACATACTTGCAAGCGGACGGACCGGACGAGCGTCCGGTCCGGTCCGCTTTGCCGCGTGCGGCACCCTCCCCGCCGCACGTGCGGAGCCGTGCGGACGGCGTCCGCTTGCAAGTATGGTTTGAACCTGGCTGCGGGTTTGAACTTCCACGTTGGGTTGAAGCTTCACTGTGGGTTTGAACCTAGCTGCTCGTTTGAACCTAGCTGCGGGTTTGAACCTAGCTGCGGGTTTGAACTTTGAACCTAGCTCCGGGTTTGAACTTCCATGTTGGGCTTAAGCTTCACTGTGGGTTTGAACTCTGGTCTGCTCCGCTTCACTGTGGGTTTGAACTCTGGTCTGCTCCGCTTCACTGTGGGTTTGAACTCTGGTCTGNTGTGGGTTTGAACTCTGGTCTGCTCCGCTTCACTGTGGGTTTGAACTCTGGTCTGCTCCGCTTCACTGTGGGTTTGAACTCTGGTCTGCTCCGCTGAACAACAAGAACTTTGGTGTGGGTGTAATGTTTCAGTTGACGTCTCGTCTTGCTTCGCTGTGTTCACATCGTCTGTGGAAGATTGGGTATATGCGTCTGTTTCGTTTTTTGTCTTTTTTTTGGCCGGAAAGAATCGCTATCTCTTCTGGGGGCCATCAGTCCGGTTGTTTATTACCCATCTATTCTCGGGGGCAGCACTACAGGTGCTTATTACCGGCAAGCATGGACATACGTTCAGGACACGGAACGGGGAGAGAGGCAAGCTCAGGCTATTCCCCTGCGGCCCTAGGGCCTAGACATCTAAGGGGGGGACTTCATATGTGGTCCCAATGCCCTACCTATGCATTTGTTTTTTTATCTTTTTTTCTTTTCTTATTACGAGTGCAAGGAAAATGAGCGATAGCGAAGTTCAGAAATCAAACAGCATCATTCACATGAGACCAGATAGTCGTGACCTCGAACCAATAGCAGAATTGCATCACGAGTTCCACCAAATAAGAGCACCGCAAAAGCTCATAATTGACAACGCTGGAATAGTCTCATCATCATCAACGAAGATCCAATGTCGATATCCTATCTGGCGCTCGGCGCCCAGACTACAGATGGCAGATCCTATCTAGCCTAATCTACAATGCCGCTGATGATGTCAACAGCTCCCCGAAGTACGAGCAGATCTCGGCCAATGCCGTTCGCCTCAAATACCAGGTATGTCTCTCGTATCACTCACAACCTCGATCCCCAACTCACAGATGCCACATGCACCCAAGAACCACCATGCGCCCCATCCAGCATACAGCAGAGCAGCTCGGCTATGGCTGCCTGCTCCTTCCAGCTCGCCCGTGAGCGCGTGAGCGCTGGCCAGCATTAGCGCAGCAGCGCTTGCGCAGCATGCGGCCAGTGCCCGAATACCAAATGTGTGGGCAGGCCCTTTCCTAAATGGAAGTGGCCTGCCTGCTTGCGTGCAGCCTGGCTGTGCTGGGCCCCTGCCCAGAAGCTTCCGGTAGGCCCAGAGAGTCTGAGCCCCAGTCCGAACGAATCAGGCCCTGGGCCTGTGGTGGTTGCCCGTGTCCAACTGCCGGCGGCCTGTGTTCGGTCCATGTTGCGAATCTGGCCCAGGGCCTGCCTCAGTTACATTCGATAGAGGCAGCCTGGGCCTGGGTGCGCTCAACCAACTGGCGCTGCGCAACTGCCTGAATTTCCCCAGCTGCGTGGTGACTCCAAAAATAGGCCCGTAGGCCTTGGTCAAGCCTGCCTTCACTTAGGGCGGCCGACTGTTCTGAAAATAGGGCCCAGTAGGGCGTATCGAGGCCTTGAGCCTCACACAAGCACATTGCCCCCCAAAATAAGTCCGATTGCTTATTACCAGCAAGCATGGACATAGGTTCAGGACACGGAAAGGGGAGATGAGCAAAAATCAAGACAAGCTGAGTATCTTCCCCCGTGGCCCTAGACATCCTCAGGGGGCACTGTATGGGTGGTCCCAGTGCCCCACCTATGCATCTGTTTTATTCCCCCGCGGTGCGAGACATCTACAGGGGGGATTGTCCCAATCCCCGGCCTATGCATCTGTTTCTTTTGTTTTCTTTTTTTTTTTCATTACAAGCACATTGCCCCATCTATTTGGGGGGCAGCAGTCCGATCATTGCTCGTTACCGGTCGGCATTACTCAGTTGAGGAAGAAGTGCATCTTTTTTTCTTCCTTGTTTGTTTTTCATATAAAGTCCAGATAGTAGTAGAGGCTGGATGGTAGGCCTCGGGAGGTGCCTGTCGTTGTACTCAACCATTGGGGAGATCAGATGGCTTGTGACAGCCCCGAGGACAGTCTCCTCCTGGGGGCATCATTCGTGAACTTTTCTTACTGTCCTATTCAGATAGCCAGTCGAGCCCTACAGCGGTGCGAAGTGTTCACACCTAGACGTGCATGGCTTAGTCTTTCAGACAAGCATATGACTACTGGCAGGATCAACCAGGTAGCGGGTGTAACGAGCAGTCGCAAGGAGCGATGGCGGAAGGGCACATAGGCACATCATGCCGACCAGCCCACCAAAAGAATGTCGAAGAATCATGGGACGTCAGATGAGCTATCGAGACGCCGCAAAGTCTGCATCTGTTTCACAATGTAGAAGTTTAAAAGTTTAAACCGATCTTTCTTCAACTTGTCCTCTGCTGTCTGGTCAGTATTGTTTCTTTGTTTCGCGATGCGGAAGTACTTTTGCACATAAGTAGTTATAGATCCGTACACCTGGGCCCAAGGCCCTCCTCCGTGCAAACACGGATTCGAACCGGCGACCTCGTCCTCAAGAGCCAAGTCGTGTATCAACCAGGTAGCGGCTGTAACGAGCAGCTGCAAGGAGCGATGGCGGAAGGGCACGTAGGCACATCATGCCGACCAGCCTACCAAAAGAACGTCGAAGAATCATGGGACGTGAGATGAGCTACCAAGATGCCGCAAGTCTGCATCTGTTTCACAACGTAGAAGTTTTAAAGTTCAAACCAATCTTTCTTCATCTTATTCTCTGCTGTCTGGTCAGTATTGTTTGTTTGTTTCGTGATGCGGAAGTACTTTTGCACATAAGTAGTTATAGATCCGTACATCAGGGCCGGAGGCCCTCCTCCGTGCAAACACGGATTTGAACTGGCGACCTTGTCTCAAGAGCCAAGTCTTGTAACCACTACAGCCAGGACACGGTGTTGAAAATGGGAACCGTACCGGCCATGATATCCACCCCACCCCCGCAAGGCTGGAGTGTCCAACTCGACATACACCACACACAACACCACATGGATGCACCACACAGACGTGGCAATTCTTGCACACTTCGCTCCAATCAGAGTTTATTGAACCGATCTGCATCTCATTCTCTGCTTCGCCATGCAGAATTGGTTTTTGTTTTCTTTTTTGTTTTGGGAGTGCAGAATTTTTTAATATTTTGATACATGTGTGTGTTATCTACACCACTCCTATCGCTCCTTGTTTTTATATTGGGCCTTTTTTTTCTTTTTTTTAATCTGTGGGCTTGCTTCTGAAAAAAAGGCACATTGTTATCACTCTTCATTTTGCTATTTTGACTTTCTTTTTACAAAAGAAAAGAGGTCTTCGACTCTTCATCTCATTCTCTGCGCTGCTGCGGCTCTGGCTGTCTCTGATCATATATCAGGTGTTGCGGGCGGTGCGTAGGTTCTGTGCAAAAGAGTACGGAATCACGCACACAACTATCCAAGTCGAGAGATGACAGTTTGTTTGCAAAACAGGGGTCGCCCGTGACATAACAGGTTTTTAAATTCCAACACTCAACTCGGGAATCAGTTAATCCGTTCCCGTTTGATTTTATCGATCTGGCCGAAGTGGAACAATGGAAGTGCTCAGGTTTTCCGCACCGTTCGCGGAATTTTTGGATGGCTATGGCAGACAATCTCCGGTCGTCGCAGTATATTTGCCCCCATTGATATCATGCGGCATTGGCGCTTGTATCTGCTGTGCTTGTTAAGTCGCCACTCCCATTTTACTTACCGTTAGGGGAAAGACGGCTCACACACAGAGTCTATGAGTTATTGGGGTACAGTCAGCGCTTCACCATACATTGTCCGCATCAATTTTACGCAGCGTTGACGCTTACATGTGCGCTCCTCGTTGTGCCATAAGGGAAAGAAAGGATGGATGGTTCAGTTGTGCTCCTCTTGTTCTGTCATCAGCGGAAGAATGGCTGAGATGTGTGTGCTTTTCACTGTACGATCAGGGGAAGAATGTTTGAGTTGCGCACTTCTTGGTGTACAATCAGAAAAGGGGGGAGAATGGTTTAGCTGCACACCTATCATCAGGGAAGGTATGGTTGGCGCTGTGCGCGGTTGGAGTTGCGCACTTCTTGTTGTGCAATCAGGGGAAGAAGGGTTGAGCTGTGCACCTATCATCAGGGCAAGAATGGTATGGTGGCACTGTGCAGTTGTCATTTGTTCCATGGGGGAAAGTATGGTTGAGTTGTGCGCTTCTTTGAGTTGCGCACTTCTCGTTGTACCATCAGGGGAAGAATGGTTTAGAGGGTCGACAAGTGATCGCACGGCGCGCTGCGAGAAGTGAAGGAACCGGTTGGCAAAATCCATGAAATGAGAAAGGGCTGCACGTGCAAATGCGGAAGAGCAAGACCAACACACCAAGTCGTAGATTGTTGACGTCTGCGTCTGGACAAGCGGAAAGACTCAGGGTGTGTGTACACCTGGACTTGCCTGGTTGTTTCTGACGACTGTTGCAGCAAGGCTTTCACCGGAAAGCTTCCAGTGTCAAAAGCCCCCGGAGAGGATATGCAAGGGCTGAAAAACGATAAATCACGTTGAGTAAGAAAGTTCACGAAGCAAACGAGGTAGAACGGACACAAGGGAGTTGTCGTGAGGCACGCTACTCATCATGTGCAATCCGGCCCTCGTTGCTGTCTTGTGATATCTTCATCCAGGCCTCGTTACCCTCCCACCAACGATGCGTAACTGAGTTGCCGCGATCGCACTATTCCTTATGTAAAACCAGGCCCTTGTTGATGCCCCATGACTTTTGTCATCCTGACGTCGGTACTCTGCCACTGAGGATACTGAATTGAGTTGGAGTGAATGCACTATGCATTATGTGCAATCAGGCCCTCGTTCATCTCTCATGACTTTCTTTATCCAGGCGTTACTCTGCAACCGACGATACGCAACAGAGACAACATCGGCACACATGTTGTGACTTTCTTCATCTGGGCGTTACTTTGCCACTCTCTTCCACCGGCAATATGCAACTGAGGGCTCACTCACACTAGCACATTCCAAAATGCTTCTGACAGCAATTGCAGCCCGACCTGGATGAATCCGACTGGAATCACGTCCAGAGCTTGGTGGAAAGTGTCCTCGAGTGAGTCTACCCAGAGTTGTCGTGAGCACACTATGTGTCATGTGCAATCAGGCCCCCGTTGATATCTCGTGGCTTTCCTCATGCAGGAGTCGTTACTCGGCCACCTACGATACCCTAGATCAGAAGAGCAGCAAGCAACAGCAGCAGCGGTATAGGTTTTTTTTTTTTTTTTTTTAATATGTGGATTGATTTTTGAGCGGGGGCAAGTTGGATCGATCTATTGCTACTTCATATTCATTTGTGTGTGTGTGAAAAAGAAAAGTCCCTTCTATTCTGGGGGGCATAGGAGCCGTGTTTCTTTTTTTCCCTTTTCACGGGAGATTTTTTTATCCAATCACGTCTTCTACCGTCTACCCTGACTTGTAAAAGTATGATATCTGAGCAATGACAGCAATGGCAGGAAAACAGGTCTGAGGAGGCTCAATGCATCCTCTGAGGGGGTAGCAAGATGGCATAAACGACCGCTTGGGAGTCTGTTCTTGGAACCATGCCTGTTATCTGACACGCAGGCTTGTCAGCATTTCAAAAAACAGAAAAAAAAAAAAAAGGGGCCACAGGTATGAACCCGGAGCCAGCTTGTCAACAAGCTAACGTATGTAGGGACTTAGTATCCGGTCCCACGAAGTCGATGAGGATGCTGGGGTATCTGCAGGACCCGGCTGGATTTTCCCGTCGGTTGTAGGTTATGGAGAACTGGGTTGGAATTCTCGAGTATCTCCAGGTTGTGCGGAATTGGACCTGAATCGGGAACCACTAATCAGTTACGGGTTGTGCAGGACCAGATATGTCCAGGTTCTGCAGGATTGGATCAGAATCGGGACCGCCAATCAGTTACGGGTTGTGCAGGACCACAGATTAAATTTGCCGTGATCAGTTGTGGATTCTGCGGGCTTGGTTCGGACTCTCAATCGGTTTGAGGTTTTGAACTCCTGATCAGTTGTAGGTTTTGAACTCACGATTGGGTAGAAAGAGGACCTCCCAGTTAATTGCGGATTCCTTGCTGGATCAAGTTCGACTTCTCGTCAGCTGTCAATTCTGCTGGACTGGGTTTGAACTCCAAACCAGTTGTTGGTTATGTTTGGGTTTAGCAGAACCAGAAGACAGGGTTCGAACTTCGAACCCCCAGTGACTTACGGGTTGTTGTGCAGGACCAGGGACCAGATTGGGTTTGAAGTCCCAACCAGTTGCGGGTTGATTGGGTTCGAACGCGCAATCAGTTATGGTTTGTGCAGGACCAGATTGGGTTTGAGCACTGCCAACCAGTTGCAGGTTGATTGGGTTCGAACACGCAATCAGTTATGGGTTGTGCAGGACTGGGTTGGGTTTGAACTCCCAACCAGTTGTGGGTTGATTGGGTTCGAACTGGCAATCAGTTATGGGTTGCGCAGGACCATTGGGTTTGAGCTCCCAACCAGGTGTCGATTCCACTGCGCTTTCAGTTTGACTTTAGGATTGTGATGAAGGTGGACTATGTGCAGTACCAGATTGGGTTTGAACTCCCAACCAGTTGCGGGTTGATTGGGTTCGAACTCATAATCAGTTATGGGTTGTGCAGGACCGGATGGGGTTTGAGCCACCAACCAGGTGTCGATTCCGCTGGATTGGGTTTGAACCCCCAACCAGTTGCACTTTCGGTTTGACTTTAGGAGGGTGATGATGGTGGACTTTTCACCATTGGAGTTTTAAGTCGAGGTCTCGGATTCTTGTGTGGCGAGCTGTGCGAGGTTTGAAAACAAAATAAGACTGGCAGCAGCATCAGCAGGCATCAACGCATGGTCGTGACCGTCTGGTCCATGCTGTTTGGTTTGATTTGTCCGGCTGGTTTCGTTTGTCCTGTTCTCGTGATATGGGGAGGTCAAGCTTGGAACCTACTGTACACTGCAGGGGGTAATCTGGCAATATGTCCAGGAGGCCCCGTACCTTAAAATGCTTGTGTCTCTAGATAGTAGTATGGTGGGTTGTGCAGGACCGGACCGGATTGGAGCTCTCAACCAGTCTGGAGAGAGGTTCGATTATCGCGTTTGGTTTGTGCTTTGCACTTCTTTATTAGACTAATACACTCCAATTTGATCTCTTAAGATCAGAATTCGCGAGTTGGCGACTCTTTTTTTTCTCTCCAACCTTTTGATATTGACAGCACCTGCTCTGAATCCTGCCAAGCGCCCTTTTTTCTTGTATGGAATGGTGGCGGAATGGTGGCGGCAAGATGGTGGCGGAATGATGGCAGAATAGTGTGGTGGAACGGTAGCGTGTGACGGAATGGAATACACATTCAGACTGTGACCGCTCGTCCATGGTATAGGGTGCTAGGGGTTACTGATCTACGCCCATGTGGCAAATGGTGGTGGAATGGTGGCTGAGTGGTTGTAGAATGGTGGCAGAACGGTGGCAGGATGATGGTGGAATGTTGGCAGAACAGAATGCACATTGAGACTGTGATTGCTCGTCCATGGTATAGGGTCCAGGGGTTACTGATCTATGTCCATGTGGTAGAATGGTGGTGGAACAGTGGCAGGAACGATGGCGGAATGGTGGCAGAACGGTGGCGGAATGTGGAACGGTGGCGGAACGGTGGCGGAATGATGGTGGAATGATGGCGGAATGCTGGCAGAAGGGTGGCAGAGTGGTGGCGGAATGGTGGCGGAATGGTGGCAGAAGGGTGGCAGAATGGTGGCGGAATGGTGGCGGAACTGTTGCGGAATGGAATAAACGTAGAGTATTGAACTGGAATGATGGCGGAATGGTGGCGGAATGGTGGCAGAACGGTGGCGGAATGGTGGAGGAATGGTGGCGGAACGAAATACACATTGAGAATCGAACTGCTCGTCCGCAGTATAGGGTGCAGGGGTAGCTGGCAGATGTCCGTGTTTTGGTTTTGGCCTTAAGGACCTATGTCAGCTGGAATTGAGAGTCTGGTTTTCACCATCTGATCATGGCCATCAGATTTCATTGCAATGAATCGAGAGTCTAGACATAGTCCAGCAGGGCCTGAGTGTAGGGGTTCGAAGTTCAAATCCTGCAATATTACAGTGCCATCAAATTTCCTTGCAAAGGATCTAGATATAGTCCAGCGGGGCCTGGCGCTACCGTCTTCACCCGATTACGATGTACGCTCATCGTGAATGTATACGAGCTATGGGACCAGCAGGTGGGGCGTGGTGATAAGTGTAAGCAAAAACAAGAAAGGGGATATTGGTGAAGTCAGCAGTACCTTTTCAGTGTGTTTTTTACGAATTGATTTTGTGACCGTCTTCAAGACGATGGTAACAGCTTTGCATTCACTACCCATGAAAAAGTATGACCACTTGCTTGGATATTGGTGAAGTCAGCAGTACCTTTTCAGTGTGTTTTTTACGAGTTGATTTTGTGACCGTCGTCAAGACGATGGCAACAGCTTTGCATTCACTCCCATGAAAAAGTATGACCACTTGCGTTGGATTAATGACTGGAATCGCCCAGACTTGAGTACGTGTGCTATCCCCGCACTGGCGGGCCCCACTGGGCGCACATCCATGCTAAGGTAGCATGAACTTGGCCACCATTTTGACCAGCTCCCTGCTGGCTTAGGAAGGATGGGTTAGCTTGTCTGAGCTTACCGGTTAGCGAGTGAGCAAGTGGAGTGCAAGTTCGCTGTTGCTTGTAGCGACGCGGCGAAAAACCCCGAACTTTTGGCCTTCCATTAACCGCTAGTGCTGAGTTGGCCAGCATGACTGGTCAACACAGTGGCCAGGGTCATGCTACCCAAGCGTATCGCTGTCAGGAGGACAGGATTCTTCAGTTTTTTCAGCCTTTCAGGTACAAACTGTGGATGAAGCATCTCATCACAAAGAAATAATCTAGTGGACCATTGGCAGAAAGAGGGGAGAAAAGGACAAAAGGCTGGGGGATGTGACAGACGGTATGAAGCGTATACATATATCGCATCACAAACAACCCCCCACCAGTCAGCGAATATGACAAGAAAGACAGAAAAGGGTAAAAGGCCAGGGGGGAGAGGGAGGAAGGGGTTGGGGGGATGGGAGATACAGACTGTTTTGTGTGTATGCATGCGTGTCGCCGCTACCATTGGAAGGTCAGAGGGATGAAGGGGTTGGGGGGAGGGGAGATACAGACTGTTTTGTGTGTATGCATGCGTGTTGCCGCTACCATCGGAAGGTCATGGAAGGGGTGCAGGACCAGGAACAGAGCCAGGAACAGAGTCGGGAATGAAAATGGTGTTCATGACGTCAGGGCTTTTTCAGATCGTCAGCCTCAAACACAGAATTTGAATTTGACAGCATCACAGTACTCTCCGACCAGCCGGGAACTCGGAATGCGGAAGTCCAGATGTGGAAATCCAAGTGCGGGACAAAAAACTCCCAAATGTGAAAACTACAAATGGGGAACTCAAAATTTGGAAAAGCAGTTGTTGATCAGATACCAGGAGAAAAGCAGCGAGGAAGGGACGTCAGACAATATGGCTACGCCGCTACGCAGATACAATCACCACAAACACAGGGGATGCGGAATATACTCGACTCTGAGTCGACTGATCATTGCAGAACATAGACAGGAAAGTAGTAAGGTAAGTGCAATGAAGTCATTGTCAAGTGTGAGAGGGGCAATTGTTCGCAAGTGAGCGGATGGGCGAGGACAAGGATGTGAAATGTACGAAATGACGAGGGGCATAGCAGCGAACATGTGTGGCTGCGACGTCTCCTACCCGGTAGTGGTACCGTCTTTCCCGATTAGAACGTATGGTCAGTATAGCTGTATTTGTAGCAACTTTCAGTCCACACTATACAACCTGTTGCGGCTTCGCAAGCAAAGCAGGAGGTTCGAGCATATTCATGGCAGTTTGTCATGCTCAACAGAATTTACTGTTTTGCTTAGGGAAAAAGAGAAACGGAAGCAAATGCCAAGATGCCTTCGTGAGCACATCACTGTTTCAATGAAAACACTGTACTTTTCCAGAATAGCGCTCTTTATCCAAGTTTATCGATACATGGATAGTCAAAAGATCGAAGGCCGCTGGAGGAACAATTACCTTTTGATTGTTTCTAGGGCGGGCGCAGTAGCAATGAATGGCTCGACTTCACTGAGCCAAGATTGAGATCTCAGTTTCTACACAATAAATCGGCAAGGCGATCATCATATCCCCATGTGATCAGCGGTCGGATCATCCTGAAAAGTCAATAATCGAAGTTGTGGTCAGATTGGAAAATGCTTACCTCCTCCCTCCATCCTCTCTCCTCCCTCCGTCCGTGTCCTCCTACTCCCTCTTCCTCCTTCCGTTGTCGTCCTCCCTCCTCCTCCATGTAATCCTCCTCAATGTCGGTGTTGTCCTCGTCGTTGTCACCAGCCTTCTCTTCATTGTTGTCATGCGCACGTGTGTGTATGTTGTGTGTGTGGGTGATATAGGACATAGCATATCATGCCAAGAAACTTCATAGTTACCTGTGATACGGTCGTCCCATTGAAATCTGGCCTGCATCAAGTCTTACATTACCCTCAACCGTAGGGAGATATCTGGGTTTGTTCTCACAAGACACCACAGGTCGGCGTTTTCCTGTGACACATCTGTCACCAGACGTCGCAGACCCCGTTTCACCACAATGCAGCAGGAGAGAGAGTGACGGAACCAGAGGGAGGCTACACGCCATAGGATGACAGACAGCAGCAAAGGCCAAAGGCAGGAGGCACGGGGGAGGCGGGAGAGCAGACAACACACAAGCACACCCAGGGGAAGACAGACGAAAGACTGTGAATCAAATGGTCAGACACAAAAAGGCACTGATCGACACTCAACAGCAAGTGGCATGGACGGGAGGGCACGGGGCAGGCGAGTGGGTAGATGAACAACATAAGGCAAGGGAAATGACACGAGGGAACAAGGCATAGGAGGGTAAGCAGCAACAAAGGCACAGAGGGCACGGGGGATGCATGGTGGGCAGACACACGACACAAGACAGCACACAAGGTACTGAGGAAAAGACATGAGGCAACAAGGCATAAAAACAGCAGCAAAGGACGAAGGTTGGAGGGCACAGGGGAGGGGGGAGGGAAGACACACAAGTATACCAAGCTGACGTCACACAAGCACACCGAACAGACCAAGCGGACAACTCACAAGCACACCAGGCAGAAGGCACACAAGCACACCAAACAGACCAAGCAGACCACACACAAGCACACCAAATAGACCAAGCAGACGACATAGAAGCCCACCAAACGGACAAACTGAAAAAACACAAGCCCCCCAACAAAAATCAAAGTCTGAAAAAAATAAAATTGATGATAGATTGTTTTGTCGGAGTTGCACCAAACAACATCAGGGAAGTAAGAGAAAGGACACGAGGGAACAAGGCATAGGACGGCAAGCGGCAACAAAGGCACACAGGCTGGCGGGCACAGGGAGGTGCGTGGGGAGACAAATGACATAAGACAGCACACAAGGTACTAAGGGAAAGACATGAGGCAACAAGGCATAGTATGACAAAGAGCAATGAAGGACAAAGGCTGGAGGGCACAGGGGAGGCGGGAGGGCAGACGCCACACAAGTATACCAAGCTGACAACACACAAGCACACCAAACAGACAAAGCAGATGACAGACAAGCACACCAAACAGACCAAGCAGATGACACGAGCACACCAAACGGACCAAGCAGACGACACAGAGGCAAACCATACAGACAAACTAAAGAAATACAAGTCTCAAAAAAATATTCGAAGGAAAAAAAACTGATGATACATTGCTTTGTCGAGAGGTGCACCGGCTCGTCAGGAGGTTGAATTGATAATCTGCGGAATGCCTGTATTGATCGTTTGGGTCAAGCACGAGGCAACGCTGCCGAGCAACACGACTGCACACGGGCAAAAACAACCGCAAGGAACAACAGGGCAAGCGGACGAGCAGCACGGCAACAGCACAGCGAAGCCACGCCACACGGCACACAAGCAAGGAACGTGGAAGGGAAGGCACACGGATGGGCAGCAAGGCAACAGCGCAGCCAAGCACAGGGGCACACTGACACCGCAGCCACACCGCACAGCGAACACAGCAGCTTGCAAAGGACGACATGTGATGCCAGCAGGACGGGCAGCAAGGCAGCAGCAGAGCGAAAGGCAGTCTACACATCCAACATGGAGCAAAGCGGCACATCACCTACTCACATCACAGGCGAACCTCGCAGACTGCTGGTTCTCACCACCTGCCGAGCCAGGGAGCTGCTCCGGCAGATGTTTATCATCCACACATAGGCCTTATGCACACCGCAGTCATCCCACACAGAGCGCCCCTCTAGAGTCCTGAAAGCACTCCAAACCACCGACCAACACCTATTTAGCACTTCTTAAAGATGTTCACTTAGACACACAAAGTAAAATCCAAGATAGAGGAAATACATGCATGCATACATAAGAATGATTGTGTGTGTATGTGCGCATGTGACACTTAGGCACCTGAACAGCCTGCATCAGTGGACATATCCTCGTTTTCGAGTGTCCAAAGTATGACATGGAACCATGTGGGATTATGAACATCTTCCTGTTCTTCAGTCCATAGATCGCGGCTGAGATTCTCTCCGTGTTGTCGTTTGCACACGCTGAGCTTTGGACGACACACCCGACCCGGGCATCTGTTCTACGTATGCTCAGACTGCATGGATATGGACACCATGATAGCTTGCCGAGTAGTCTTAAGTGAATGGACTGTTGTCGCGTTGATTGTTGCCGGTCGGTTAGGCTGGAAAATTTTTGAAATAGGAAAGTTTTGGATGAAGACGTAGGATAGTATAAGAAGTAAGGAGGAGAGGAAAATACGACTTGAGAAAGTTGGAAAAACGAGGGTTAGGAAGAATCGGGGGCCAAAGGGGACGAAAGGAAACTGAATTGGAAAATAAATAGCAAGACGACAAGTAAAATCGAATAAAATGGAAAATAGAGGAAGGATAAGGAACGGAAGGCAGGGGGTGGGCAAGTGAGCTATGGAAAACACCTGACAACTGCAGTGGCTGGGTATAAATATAGGTTTCCCAATCGCAACTATCTCAGGAACACTTGGATAAGGATGTAATATTTGAGATGCCGGACCCGATTTCCAGCAGGTGCTGCCCCTTGCCAATGGACTGGGGCGTGTGTTTTAAAATAAATAAATTATTTCCTTTCTATGGGAACACCTCATCCTCCAGATTGCCATCAATATGGCCAACCTCGTCAATTTGAACATATTTCGTTGGAACAAAGACCAATATAGAAGAAAGTCAGATGGCTTACCACGCAAAATTACTTGGATGTCCCATCCTAGAAACTGCATCGCACCATCTCCGCACTTGAATAGCCATAGGACACTCCTAAAGGTAGTGCTCATACGTCGCAAATCTTTGTTGTCACGAGTGTCCATTGTATGCACAAATCGGTGACAATAACCCATTTTATTACAAATTTGATCGAGACACCACCAGGTCCAGGGTAGGTAAATAACGGTGTAGTAGGTACATTTGCAGAGCTTTGTCTCCTGTTGGCATAAGGTGGGAGTATCTTGCCAGAAATGAATCTTCCAGGTCTCTTTTTTTAACAAGGAACTCCTCATGATGTTCGGCATGGATGGGTGCAACTTGTGGCAACATTTGTAGGCTTTCGTTACTTTAGGTTGCTAAATGGCAGCGGTTCATCAAGGGTCATTTTCATCCGCCAAGGTCAAAGGGTAGTGCACATATAGGAATTGGCATGTCGTAGGCGGAAGAAAAAACAAAATATTGTTCCCAACCACTATGAACCATAGCACATCATCCTAATATTTCTAACAAATACCTCTGCATTTCTTAAACCACCAGTACTTGGCCCAGCTATGGATGCCGAGCCTGAAATGGCCCTGCGCACCAATTTTGCCGAAGAGCCGAGGTACCGTTTTGATTTTTTTTGGGTTGGCGCTTCCAGCCATTGTGGTCCGGTACCCGAAGCCCTAAAGGCGCGGCTCGTTAACGGGGAAGTGTCGCGGCCAATAGTTGGGCCAAGTACTGGTGATTTAATAGCTTTCTCATATCATCCCCATAGGTCTTGGATCATAGGTTACTATAGTGACCTAGAGCCTGCAAGCCATTGCATCATAAAAGTCATCATAGGAATCAAGTGCGTCATTGTTCCAATCACCCAACCATCTTGATGCGAAAAAGGTTCTCTCCATACCGCTATCTCAAAACTTAGGGAATGTCTCAACTTAGTTTGCAGCTAGGAGGTTGCGCCTTTGTTTAGCATATTCTTTATTTTAGGAAATGTCGTCAACCAGTATCAGGGAAAAAAACAGCGGTAGCAGACCGTTCGTCATGCATTGCAATCAAGCCGATAAGTTTGTGGCGCTGAATAGAAAAAAAAAGGAGGGGTTGAGCAAAGACAGACAGATAGGGAGAGGAGAAAAAAAAAAAAAAAAAGAGAAATTCAGTCGTGGCCCACCTTTTTGCAACAAAAAGGAGTTTCAACTCTCTTTTGACAGTTCATGTTGTCAAATATGGGCAGTGCACTGCTCGCTTTCCTCTTTAACAGAGATGCCGAGGACTCACACTTCCACTTAGAAAGAACATGTCTTGATAGTTCCTCGTAACCTGAGTACAAGGTTATAATTTTCATGTCTGGATTATCAGTGGAGATTGAAGGTAAATTTTCTTCCCGTACCTTTCTTTTTTTCCTTCCTGTTGCTTTTTCTTCTACTTTGTTCTCCTCTTTACTTTTCTTTCACCATTTCTCATCCTTTATACTCTCTCCTCCTTTCTATCTGAGTCGGGCGCTTCTCATTTGCTTGCTTACTCAATCCCTTCCTCCTGATCAATCACACGGTCTATTAGTACACCCATATGCTCATACATTTGCCAGCTCAATCAATCCCCACACTCACGAATCAAATTTCCAACTCCTGCTCTCAACCACTTTTGCACGCTGTCTACTTGACCATTTTATGGCCATGCGTTTAAACTTCAGTTCATTCTCTTATATTCCCCCAATCCTCATTTTTTCCTTACCATTCACAAACTCACTTCCTAGTCTTTAACTTAACTTTGTCCTCCCCACTTCCTTTTTACTTTGCGTCCCCACACACGATCTCACTTCACGTTTTCGTTGTTCTTCGTCTATTTATGTGCGCAACTTTCTACTCT